GGAATTCCTTTTTTCTACGCACCCCTCACAATACTTAAAATAATTCTCATTCAATTAAAAAGTCCATTTATTTGCAAAAATAAGGTATATGAACACCAAAAATATTACTGCTTTCAAAAACTCACGATAATTATTGCCTAGATAATTACGTATTACCCTATAAAAAATATAAATAAATTTATAATTGGATATTTAAATATTCAACAGAAATGGAATTCCTTGTATATATAATTTTAGATATTATAATTAGTATAAATTTGAGAGATTCTTATAATTTTAACTGATAATTTATTATAATTATTATTTATTTTTTAAATATTTATTTTTAATTTGCTTAATAATGTGTTTTCTAAGCTAATTTTGCTTCCATTTAACATTCCTTCCATCCCTTCTATTACCATAAAATTAACAGAACCATTTTTGAATTTTGTAAAATTTTATTTAAGCCATTTTATCACCATATTAACCAAAAATAAAGAGCTATATTAAATTAATTTTAAAAAATAATTGCTGCTAAAATGAGTAATATTCAATCGTCAAAAACGTTAAATAATTCTTCTGAAGATCAGGTTTGGTTTATTTTGCATTATCACTCACCATTCATCCTTTTCTTTTTCCTTTATCCAAAAAAGTACACATGGGTCAGAGGAATATACCTACCCGATACAGGTCGGGATACAAATACCAGCCAACTCTAAAGGTTACCACTACTTATATTTCAAAAGATTTACTGTATTTCCATAAAATCTTTACTGGGGATAGAGACATGCACTCTCCGTTGAATTATGTCAAAACAACATGGTGTGCCATCTTTTTGAAACGCAATGTATTTGACCATTGGTGATACTTATCGCCAAAAAATATTCATTAAACTCTTTTTCGGAATGGAAAGGAGAAAAATAAAATTGTGGGCCAAAATGAGAGTAACTCTAAAAAAATTATTTCTAGTTCTTCCTCGTTGTAAATCAAAACACTGGCATTTTAAATTCGTTTTTAATTATTTTGGCTGTCAAAGTTTTACTAGCCATTTTGGCATTTATTTCTGCTATGTCACTCCTCTGGGTCACTTTTAAATGTAAAATGTTTGGAAATTGTAATTTGCTTATAGCTTTAAATTCGTTAAATACGGCAAGGATTTTTCAAAAATTTCTTTAAAATTTTTATAATTTCAGTCAATTTTCCTTCTTGGGACATTACCCCCTTTAATTATTGTAATGTCTGGAATTAATTTTATATCCGTCAGTCGTTGTATTTGGATTCAATGGCTACCCCTCTTTGCATTTTTTTCTCAAATCACCCTTTGTTTGTGTATTGGAGTTGATAGACTTGTGGCTGTTGGATTCCCTATTTTGTATGCTTTTAGTTTATTAAATAGATGTCCGGAATAGGGGCATACTTTTTTCTGTTTCGGATATCTGGAAGCACCAACCGAGCAGGGCTGTGCGCCAAATTTTCGCGTGGAATATCAAACGCTAAACACCAATTTTTCAAATTTAAAAAAAAACGCCAAACGCAAAACACCAAAAATGGACGCCAAACGCCATGACGCTCAGCCCTGGTACTGAGCCTTGCTCAAGTTTACGTATGGGATCTGTCCGACAAAAGTAGACAATTACACTTGTAGTTGCACTACCGACCATATTAGTTACGAAATTGCGATATTTTTCGATTTTCGCGATTTTTCGAAACTTTATTGGGGCGACAACCGGCTGGGGATACTGCCAGGCCTATTGTCACTTACATACCTACCTTATCTAGTGTCAGATATCTTTTTATTTTTTTATCTTATTCTTTAGTTATTGCAACACTTGCTCGAATAGCCTCCTTGTGCTGATAGGTTATTTGTTGCTCTGCTACTCTTTCTCAGTTTATTCTATTGTTGTGAGATTTATTACAGTTACGGAAAATCCAAATAAGTATGTTGTTAATTAATTATCTAAATCTTGAGACTCAGTCAAAAGCAGAAGTGAATTGGAATCCGACTTCCGATTTCCGAAAATTCACGATTATTTCCGAGTTCCGACTTTCGAGTCATTACCGATTTCCGAAAGTTCCGATTTTCAGCACTTACTTAGTTCCGATTCACCTCTGGTCAAAAGGAAGATATAGACAATAAGGTCTCCATCAAGATTATAATCTGATTATCTGACCTTATTATAAGATGAGTATTGTAATGACGATTACGGAGGGGATATAAGTCAGCCCCTCCTTTTAAGTAATAAACCAACTTCTAAGGAACATGTCCTAAATTTGGGTGATCCTATAAAATTGAGATGTTTATTAAACAATTTTTCCCCAATTTCAATTTTAGGCCAGTAATATGTCTAGTAACAGATATATCTCCACAATCATATTTTTCTATGAGTTTATGCCTCAATTTGGTTACCCCTATATTATATGTAATTGTTGGTATAATGCTTAGATTTAAAATAAATCCAGGTAATTTTCAAGAAAAAAATTATAAAATATTTTTTCATATAAATTTCGCAAATTTCTGAAATTTCAAAAAATTTTAAAAAATTTCCGAATCTCAAAAAATTTCAAAAATTGTTTGAAATTTCCAAAATTCCAAAAAAAATTTTTAAAATTTCAAAAATTTTAAAATTTTCAAAAAATTAAAAAAAATTTCAAAATTTTAAAAAATTTCCAAGATTTCAAAAATTTCAAAATTTTCTAAAAGTTTCAAAAAATTTTTTCAAAATTTCCAAAAAGTTCAAAAAATTTTCAAAACTTCAAAAAATTTTTAAAAAATTTTCAAAATTTTTAAAATTTCAAAAAATTTCAAAAATTTCCAAAAAAAATTCCAATTTTTTAAAAGATCAACAATATAACAAGACTATATGTCAAATATTCAAAGCAGTTTTTTCTATGATGATTTTACAATTATTTGGCTGGCTAAATAACCAAATTTTACAGACAGTTATTACTTTTCTTAATTTGGATTTGTTAACGTCTTGGTTCGTTCGAAATATTGGAGCTTTTCCTCTATATGTGGCTTTAGCTTTGGATGCTTTAGCCTTATATTTATTTAGGTTATCTTTTGAAAAAAATTTTTAAATTAAAAATTTTCAACGAAAAGTGAGGCCTGAAGGGAAGGTGAGGCCTGGCTAGATAAAATCAGGACAGCAAAATTTGCTCTGTCTGTCCGACTCGAAAAAATCCTTATTAGGGCTGTCCGCAATTGAAAAAAATTTATTCGCAGCCGCAATCCGCAACCGGCAATTTTAATTTTAAAATCAGCAAACGGAATCCACAATTGCAGACAGAACTGATTCTGATTAATATATTAGTATACATATACTTAAATGCTCAAAGTACCCCTTACAGCCTGAGGATGAAAAAATATTTACCCCCTTATAAATAGCTATTATAATTAGCTTAATGCTCGAAGATGCTCGAGTAATTGCCCCTCTAAATTAATTGTCCCCTCCAACGATACCATTATTCGTTCCATTATTCGAAGACCCATAGTACTTCTTCGAGCCAGTACGGTAATAGAATCGACTAATTTATCGGGCAATTTAATTTTTACCTAATTCAAAAAATTTTCTTTCAGTCATGACTACAGAAAAAATTTCAACAAATGTTTTCCTCAACTTTCCTCTTTTTTCTGTAAAAATCCAAATGCATCAAACAAAGTTGTGCCCTTCTCAATACACGTACAAAAATCAAAAAGTTTAAATATGGATAAAGTTGATATTATAAGAAATAGTGCTCGGTAGAAAAATCTCGAAGTTAGATACAGAGTTGGAAGGAACTGAAGGAGGAAGAAAGTTGCTGATCGATGTTTCATTGGAATTTTAGAGCTTGTACATATACATATGTGTTATTTTTATGTATATGTAAAGGAAATTTAAAGAGTGATAATTGAACGATACTCTCTAATAGAGCGACCTATATAAGTCAAAGTTGAAATAATCGAATGGCACATTGAGCTATAACCAGGGCTCTCATCGACAAAATGCCACTCAAAAGTATCAAAATCTTGATAAAAAAGTATATAGGGAGAAAATTTCCAAATTTAAAGTATACTCAAAATTAAATTGGAAAATATTTGTTCGTGCTCAAATCTTTTATATTTCTCTCTTAAATGAATCTTTTCTAATAATTTCTTGCTTCCATTGGGCATTTTGTGCATTTCAACGCATGACATGTCAAAATTCGCTGATACAAGAAATAAAGCCCTGACAGTCTTAACCTCAAGCTTTCGTCCATTTTCAGCGCCGCAGGCGAAAATTTTTTGAAATTTGGAGCCCAAGTAGTCAGATTTCTCCCATTTTCAGCGCCGCAGGCGAAAATTTTTTGAAATTTGGAGCCCAAGAAGCCAGATTTCTTTCTTTTTCAGCGCCGCAGGCGAAAATTTTGATAATTTCGAAGGCCCAAGGCTAAAAAAATTCACTTTTTTGCCCAATCCCTTCCCCAATTTCATTTTCAATCCAAAATGTTGATTTTAAAGTATATACTTTCAATAAAGTATAAATTCAATTTCTTAAGTATGGAGGTCGGTTTCAAAGTATAATACTTTCAAATAAAGCACGAATGAGAGCCCTGGCTATAACGAAGTTTCGGTTTTCGACTTTTGGTGGTTTTTGAATATACTGCTTGCTGAAAAACACAAATTTATTTAACTAAAGACCTATCATGAATTACAAGAGACGTCCAAGACCGAAAAACCCCCAAGAAACGTATTGAGTCAAGCCCAAGAGTCTTGGACGTCTCTAGAAATTACCATTCCAGGAGATAGATAAAGCACAAGAGGTTATCGCAGAAAAAACGCGAATCACACTCCCTACGTTTCCCCCATTCTCGAAGACGGGTTGCTTTTATTAGTCTATCCCAGCTTCAACCTACTAGCATTAGCTTGCTTTTTTAGTTGTTAGTTTTAAAACAGATTTAGGCGTTTTCTAAAATAATTTTTCTTAGAAAATAAAATAAATTTTATATTATTTGCTTTCTCATTTACAAAAAAAGGATTAAAAATTAAATCTAATTTTTATATTTTCATTTATATATTGGTGTAAGTACAGCTAATGATGTCCCATTATTCGACGATGTTGTTGCGTTCGTACTCGTATTTGTCGGGCTCAAATTAAATATCACTGCACCGCTTCCAATAAATCTTAAAATAGCTAACTGTACATCACTTGAAATTGTAAGAGGAGTTGGATTAGTTCGAGTACTGCTCGAATTTGTGGAAGTTGGGGGAGTTGTAGATATACTGCTCGAATTTGTGGAGGTTGGGGGAGTTGTAGATATACTGCTTGAATTTGAGGATGGATTTATTGAAGGCATTGATGTTGTTGAGGTTACAGTTGACACTGCTGATGGTGATACAGTAGTTGAAACATTTGTACTGCTTGAAGTTGATGAATTTGAGGATGGGCCCGTTGTAGTTGCGGATACTGTGGTATTTGTATTGGATGAATTATTAGCCGGCCTTGCTGTTGTTAATGGTGAACTGGTTGAATTAGTTGTTGGTGAAGAAACTGCAGTTGAACCATTTGTACTGCTTGGGGTCGATGAATTTAGAGATGGGACTGTTGTAGTTGCAGATACTGTGGAATTTGAATTAGATGATGAATTAGTAACTGGCCTTGTTGTTGTTAATGTTGCACTGGATGAATTAGTTGATGTAGAGTTTGTAGTGCTTGTGGTTGATGGATTTGAGGATGGACCCGCTGTAGTTACGGATACTGTAGCATTCGAATTAGTAGCTGGCCTAGCTGTTGTTACTAATGCACTGGATGAATTTGTTGATGGAGATGTTGTAGCTGAACCGTTTGTACTGCTTGAGGTTGATGAATTTAAAGATGGGCCCGTTGTAGTTAGTGTAACATTCGAAGTAGAAGATGAATTATTAGCTGGCCTTGCTGTTGTTAATGTTACACTTATTGAGTTTGTAGGTGGAGAGGTTGTAGTTGAACCATTTGTACTGCTTGAGGTTGATGAATTTAAAGATGGGCTCGTTGTAGTTAGTGTAACATTCGAACTAGATGATGAATTAGTAGCCGGCCTAGCTGTTGTTAATAATGCACATGATGAATTGGTTGATGGTGTGGTTGTAGATGAACCATTTGTACTGCTAGAAGTCGAAGAATTTGTAGATGAACTTGTTGAGGCTGTGGATGGTATACTGCTAGAATTTGAAGGTGAAATTGGAGTCGGACTTGCTGCTGTTGTTGTTGCTAAAGATGTACTGTTTGAAGTTGTTGTCGAACTTGTTGTCCCGAATATTGGCAAAATGCCTGTATTGTTAGTAAAAGGCATTGAGGTATTGCTAATTACGAGATTTATCATGGTTGTTGTTTGTAAGGTAGAATTTGTTGGCGGAGTTGTGATGGTTGAATTGTTCGATATGGTAGCTGTATTTAAAAGATAAATGATATGTAGTTCTAATTTAAGTCTCTAGGATAATTAAAGATGTGACTTCTTATTAAGCCAGCCCTAATTCATACATTATGTGAGGAACAAGTTAAAGTTAATGCAAAATGTATAAATTAGAAGCAGAGGAGGTCTGAAGCGTAGGAAGGTGTCAAGGTGAATTCTGAAGGTGTCAAAATCGGAAAAATACTCAACCTATGAAAGTCTGAACTAGGGTAACACCCCGAGCCTTCGGGGGCGGAAGTGTCGGGGTTTGCCGAGGTAGACCTTCGGGGTTCGGGTCGGGGTTTTGCCTAAAAATTCGTCGTAGTTTCCGGGGACGGGTGCGAAAGGCACGCAAGTCGAAAATTGAGATAGATTACGTTGGATTTAGGGCTCTTTTCGCGACCTCTCTATAAAAAAAAGAGAATAAATATACTTGTAGATGAAGTAACATTCTGACTTGTCTGTGTTTGATTGTTAAGTTGTAATTGAATGGTAATTTGACGCATTGCTTAAAAACACAATAAGTAATCATTTAAAGGTAGTATAAAGGTAAACCTTCTTGATAAAGTGTATCAGAATTTTGATTAAGAATCTGAGAAATGCCATTAATTTCATTAGGGAATTGTGGATTGACTGAAATGATTGTGGGTGTGGTAGTTGAGGGTAAAGAAGGTTGACCTATAATAGACTGTGTACTGCTTGAATTTGTCGAAACAGAGGTTGAAGTAGAGACCGGTGAAGCAATACTGGTTGAATTCGTAGATGGAATTGTAGTTGCAGGAGGTGTACTGTTTGAGTTTGTTGGCAAAACAGTAGTTGTAGGAGCTGAGCTGTTTGAATTTGTGGGCAAAGTAATCGCAGCAGTACTGTTTGAATTTGTTGTCGAAATTGTAGTTGTAGTTGCAGAAGTACTGTTTGAATTTGTGGACGAAATTGTAGTTGCAGAAGTACTGTTTGAATTTGTCGACGGAATTGTAGTTGCAGAAGTAATGTTTGAATTTGTCGACGGAATTGTAGTTGCCGAAGTACTGTTTGAATTTGTGGGTGAAATTGTAGTTGCAATAGGTGTACTGCTTGAATTTGTTGGCGAAATTGTATTTCCAGATATACTGGTTGAATTTGTGGTTGAATTTGTAACTGGCATAACAGTATTTGCAGCAGCTGTACTGCTTGAATTTATAGACGAAGTTGTAGCTGGCAGAGCTGTTATTGGTAGGGGCGTGGTCACGGCAGCTACACTGCTTGAATTGCCGGAAGATCCAGTTGACAATACAGTAGCCGGTGTACTATTTGAATTTGCTGAAGAATTTGTAACAGGTAGAAGTGTAGTTGTTGGCACCTGCATAATACCCCAAATGTTTGAAAAGTTGCTAGAAATTAATGGAACACCAACAGCCATTGTATTTGTAGTTGTCTGTAAAATAGCTGTAGACATAGATGGAAGTGTACTGCTCGAATTTGACGAGGAGTTTGTCAAAGGGTTTATTGAGGAGTTTGTCAAAGAATTGGCAGTTGTGGCCGCAATACTGCTTTGATTTGTTGTCAGATTTATAACTGAGCTAGCTGTAGTTGCTATGCCTGGACTGCTTGAATTTGTTGAATTATTAGCAAGAATTGACGCATTTGTGGTTGTTATTATACTAGAATTTGTGGTCAATTTGGTAACTTGCATTGCTGTAGTTGGCGAAATTGTAGTTGAATTAGATGTACTGCTTGAAGCTGACGTCTGATTAATTAATGAAGTATTAAAAACAGGCATAGACGTAGTTGGTATATTAATTGGTCCGGCTGTAGTATTATTAAAATTTGTAGTGTTTATTACTGAAGACGAGTATCCGCTCATTGTTGTAGGCGGAATGGTTGTTAGTATTGGCATTATGCCAAAAATATTTGAACCGTTACTAGGGGCCAATGGTTCTCCTATCACTCTAGTGGTAGGAGGAACTGAAGTACTGCTTGAATTTGTCAAAGAATTATTAGTAGTTACATTAGTGATGTTAGGAATTGAAGTCTGATTTGTGGCTGGGGTGAAAGAAGTTGGCATTGACGTAGTTGTAGCAGATATACTGCTTGAATTTGTTGAAGAATTTGTACTTGGAGTTGCGGAAATACTTGCTGAATTTGTGGAGGAACCTGTAACTGAGATGACAGTTGATGGAATAGCTGTAGTTGCAGCAACTGTACTGCTCGAATTTGGAGACAATGTCGTAGCTATACTCTTCGAGGTTGATGTTAGATTAGTACTGCTTGAAATTGTTGAAATAGAAGTCGAATTAGCGACTGGTGAAACAATACTGCTTGAGTTTGCTGAAGGAATTGAAGTTGTAGAGGATGTACTGCTTGAATTTGTAGATGAATTCGTAGTTGAAGCGACAGTTGAGTTAGCCAACCCTGCTGTAGATACCTGCATTATTCCCCAAATGTTCGCATTTGAAATGTTGGAAGATATTGGAAGCCCGATTGATAGAACAGCGCTCATAGTTGTTGTTTGAAGGGTTGAGACATTTGCTGTTACATTCACAGGCATTGCACTCGTTGAATTTAATAAAGCGGGGGATGATGTAGAGGAGGCTATACTGTTCAAAGTTGAGGAAGAATTGGTTACTGACATTGTTATTGATGTCGTTGTACTGTTTGATGAAGGTGAACTGCTTGAATTTGTGGACGAAGTAGTTGCAGAATTTGTAGCTATTTGTGTTGCTAAAGTTGTACTGCTTGAATTTGCTGTGGGTGCTAAAGTTGTACTGCTTGAATTTGTTGATGAATTATTTATTCCATTTGTGCTGTTTAGAATGGAGGGCGGATTAGTAGTCGAATTTGTTGCGTTTGTCTGTATTGAAATAGTTGTACTGTTCGAATTAGAGGTCGAATTGGTAGTAGAATTTATGGTCGATTGTGTTGTTGCCGGAATTATTGTGACATTAGAATTAGTCGGGGACCCTGTACTGCTTGAATTAGTTGATGTGGAATTGACTGAAGGAGTTATACTTGTTGAATTTAATACTCCAACTGTTGGGATTTGCATTATTCCCCAAACGTTTGCATTTGAAATGTTGGAGGATATTGGAAGCCCGATTGATAGAACAGCGCTCATAGTCGTTGTTTGAAGTGTTGAAGCATAAGCCGTTACATTCATAGGCATTGCAGTCGTTGAATTTAATAAAGCGGGGGATGATGTAGAAGTACTGTTCAAATTCGAGGAAGAATTAGTTACTGACATTGGTACTGATGTCGTTGTACTGTTTGATGCAGGTGGACTGCTTGAATTTGTGGACGAAGTAGTTGCAGAATTTGTAGCTATTTGTGTTGCTAAAGTTGTACTTGTTGAATTTGTTGCAGTTAATTGACCTGTACTGCTTGAATTTGCTGTGGGTGCTAAAGTTGTACTGGTTGAATTTGTTGATGAATTATTTATTCCAGTTATAATGCTTTGGGTAGAGGGCGGTGCCGAATTTGTGTTTGTTTGCATTGAAACAGTTGTACTGCTCAAATTTGAGTTCGAATTAGTAGCAGAATTTATGGTCGATTGGGTTGTTGCAGGAATTGTTGTTATATTGGAATTTGTCGGAGACCCTGTACTGCTTGAATTTGTAGATGTGGAATTGGCTGAAGGAGTCATACTTGTTGTATTTAATACTCCAGCTGTTGACATCTGCATTATCCCCCAAATGCTTGAATTTGTAATGTTACTGGAAGATATTGGAAGCCCAATTGAAAGAACAGCGCTCATAGTTGTTGTCTGAATAGTAGGTGCTGAAACAGTTACATTGCTTGAATTCATTGAATTATTAGAATTAATAGATGGTTGCGTCGTTAGAATAGATGATTGCGTCGTTTGAAAAGTACTGCTTGAACTTGTCGAACTATTTGACAAATTACTTGCTGAAGTTGTACTGTTCGAACTCGTTGGACTACTAGATGAAATAACAGTCGCTGTTGTACTGCTTGAAATTGTTGAGCTATTTGATGAAGTTGCTGTTGTACTGCTTGAATTTGTTAAGCTATTTGTTACATTAATTGCTGAAGATGTACTGCTTGTGGATGAGCTTGATCCTGGATTTTGTGATGCTAAAGTTGATGGAGTTGTAGTGTTCGAACTTGAGGATGAATTAGTAGCTGAAGTTGGTTGTGTAGTCGAATTAGAGGAATTTATAACAGAATTTTGTGTTGGTGCATTTGTTGGATTTGAACTGCTTGAATTTGTAGAAGAATTTCCAGTTGAATTAACTATAGATTGAGTTGTTGTATTTGCAGTTGAAGTTGTAGAGGAAACATTTCCTGCTTGATCGCTCATAATAGAGGCTCCACCCATTTGTAAAACAATGTTGTTAGCTACTGGAAGTCCTCCTCCAGTTGAAGAAGTATTTGAAGTTTGTGGAGTAGAAATGGTAGCTAATGTAGGCAACGCCGTTGTTGAACTTGTCATATTTGAAGGGGAACTTGCGTTTAGCTGAGAATTTGGCGTTGTGTTTATTATGTTCATAGTGGCATTAGTAACAGACATTGCAGTTGTTACCATAGTATTATTTAGTGGTCCAACTGTGGTTGAATTAACCTGATCACTTACAACATAAAACAAATTTCTTGAAGACGGCGTTACTTGATTTGAGGTTGTATTTGTTTGTGTTAACAGAAGAGAAGTATCGGTTGCAGTAAAGTTTCCGGTAAGGGAGGATATTGTAGTTGATTGTGTTGTTGCTGATGTAACAGGTGTATCGCAAAAATATGAGGTGTAATTAATATTGTCTAGAATGGCAAAACCTCCGCTTAGTTGAGGACTTGAATAGACAAAGTTGGAAGATTCAATGATCAACTATGTGAAAATAAGTTATTTAAATATGTCAACTTTAGAGATGTCCAAGCCGAATATTTTTCAAGAAAGATACCCCCCAAGAAATGTCTCGAGTCTAGACTAAAAACCAAAGTCTTGGATGTCTCTATTTAGCTTCCATAGGATAAACTGTAAATTTTTTAAATATAAACGGACCACTATTTCATGTACACCTTTGGGGTTGAAAAAATTTTATTCTATAGCGAAGGATACTCCCGTCCCCACCCCCTATTTTTAATGTACAAAATGGTCAGACTGAACAAACGCCTTGGCCCTAGTCGCTCCTCGAACCAAAATTTAAAAAACGTTCATAAAGTTTTGGGTGCTTCTTTTAATGAGGTTACATTATTATACTCAAGACCAAGACAAAATTTTGAGACATATTCACCTGAAACTGTCCTCTAGGCTCAGGAATCATAATAACAGCAGGCCCAGGACCTTGATGTGTAATAGGCACTTTTTGACAATCATTGCTAGAATTAAGTGGTTGTCCCGACAATTTAATACAAACTGTGAGTTGTACAAAAGGACTAACCCAATAACTAGAAAGAAAATTTCATTTTAATTTATTTTATTATTCACTTGAATGTTAAATTCCCGGTTCCTCTCTGACAATCTATCGGTTCACTAATTAGTGTTGCTACGACTGTATTGTTGTTTGATGTGCTGTTTACTGGTCCGAAAGCAGAAATGGCATAGTATAAGTCTTAAAAAATTTTTTTAAGAATTTTTTAAATTTCTGAATTATCGTATTTTCTCGAATAATTCCCCTCCCTTGAATAATTCCCATTCTCGATTAATTCCCCATGCTAGAGTTTGGTTGAAACAATAATTCCCCACCTCCAAATACCCTACTGCACGTTCAAATACCAAAACTCGAATAATTCCCCATGCCAAAGAAGTGTTGAAAAATAATTCCCCGGGGGAATTAATCGAGAAAATACGGTCCACTCATTCGACCTCGTTATAAGATATCCTCTTTTAGTTTAGAAAGTGTCTTATAATGAGGTGTATCTTAAATAGAAGTTATCACTTTGATAGACAAAACCCGGCCTCCCCCCAATATTCGTCTCCAACCAGTACCCAAAGAACTTAAGAAACGCCGGTTTTTCGAATTCTTAAAAGACGCCAAATGCAAAACGCCAAAATGTAACGCCAAAAAACTAGCGCCAAACGTCATTTTCAAAACCCCCATAAAAAGCACCTGGAAGCACATTTGTATTCGTTAGTAACTGCAACTCAACAGCATCTATAGGCACTGAACTTCGAAACCAAAGAATCGAAGATGGCGGCCATATTGAATTATGCCACCGGCAAGAATTATCAAAATCGGGGCAATTCCAAGTCTGATAAGTACTGTTTGCTTTAAATATTTAACAAAATTATTAACTTAAGAAGCTTCTTCTACATATAATCTTCTTTAGACTACACTTTATTTATTCTAAAGTGGAGTGATCGAGGGATCATTAACTCATTAGAAAATTCAATTTTCGTTAAAAGAGATGGGTAAAAACTCGAAATTTGTCAGACTTTCAGAAATCGGAAGGAAATCCCTAAGATATTAAAGGTGGACAAATACTTCCGACCAACTCTTGTTTATTACCTCAATCATACAATACAACTACTTTAAATAATAAATAACATACTCATTTTAAAATTCAACATCAGCAAAGTTAACCGTAGGAGAAAGGAATTATCAAATAAATTTTTAACTAGCCTTATCAATTTAATAAAAATTTTCATTTTTTGGGGTGTTTTTAAAAATCTCAAACAAAAATTTATTTAAATCAATGTTTGGCCTTGTGTTTATTAAATATTTTTGTTTTTCAATTTAAGACCTCCCCTCTAATTTTAAAGAACATTAAAATTATAAAACTCATTAAAACGAACACCCAATCATTTTAAGTATTATTGCGAATATAAAAGGGATTAGTCTGACCTGAAGAGAAAATAGGGAAGTTGTTAAATAGATTTTTTTGAAAAAAAAAATAAATTTTTATTTTGATAAAAAATTGTTAAAAATTTATTTTGAATTTTCAATAAAAAATTTAAAAAATGAGGAAGAATCGATTAATAAAATCAAAAAAGATTACAATAGGACCTCACTATAAAACCATTCTTAACTTATAATTAGGGATCGGATTTCAATATCTTTTTACTGAAATGGTTATGTTGGGAGAAGCTAAGTTCGTTTTTTGAATATCTTATCTTTTACAGAGACTTATTGTCAACTATTGAAACCTATTGCAGCCTTAAATATATTTAGTATGTTGGATGTTTTTGGCACTTAAAAGGAGTGTAGCCTTCTTTCATTTTTCTTTTTTTGATACCCATTTTGGCAATTTATACAACCAATTTAGGTACCTATTTTAAGGTTTTCGATCCCCACTTAAAAAATTATATCCCCACTTATAATGAAGTCTGTCTCAAATATGAGGTATACTTAGGTAGACTACTTCCCCTCCCACTCTCCAGTGCCCAACCATGTTTTAAATAGGGATGCGCCCCGAATCCTGAGGGCTCGTTTTTCGGGTAGCGTTGGAGGATTACTGACAATAAATTGTGAATGTTATTCTGTCAGTCATCCTCAAACGCTCCCTGAAAAAGGATTCGGGGCGCAAAAATTGAGGTTATCTAATATTGGATGTCTCTTATAATGAGGTCCGATTGTATAGAATCAAGTCAAAAAACAAAAAATATAAATTTATAAACAAATATTTTTTCTCTCCCTTTTACCATTTTGAACATTTTCTTGTCGTTTCAACAACAATTCTTTCCTACGTTCTGCTAATTGTTCAGCCTTTATCTTTAACTATAAAATAAATTTTTATTTTAAATTTTTGAAACTCTCAGAAAAATACCTCACGAATTTTAACTTCTTCAGCAGACAAAACATTTTGGAATGTCTCCATCTTTTTTCGAATACTTTCAGCTTTTTTGTTAGCATTAGCTAAAGACGATTGTACATCAAGTTCTTCTTGACATAGAGCCCAAAGTAAGGCCTGCTTTAAAAAAAGTTTTTAAGTGAACAGTACAAAGAGGGTTAAATGGGATATCGGTGTACTATATGGAGGGATTAAAAGGAATATTGAGGGTTCGTGAAGAATTAACGGGGGAATTAAAGAATTAACGGATTTGAAGGGATAAAGAGGATATTGAGTGATTTGCAAGGATTAGGGGGATTTGGAGGAATTTTGTAGAATATACTAGGTATATAAAGCTAGTATATCTAAGTCAGCCCAACCTAATCCTTCTTGACCTTCACAACACCTCGATATCTTTCCTAAATCATTTTAACAATATATCTCTTATTAACCCAAATATTGCAATATCTGTTACAAGTTAACGGGGGATATTGATGATTTGGAGGGATAAAGAGGATATTGGGTGATTTGTAAGGATTAGGAGGATCTGTAAGATTTAGGGGGATTTGGAGGGAATGTAGAATATACTAGGTATAAAGTATATCTACTCCAATCCCCACTTAATCCTTCTAAATCTTCACAACACCCTCAATACCTTCCCTAAATCCTTTCAACTCTTTACACATCCAAATCTCACAATATCTGTTAATCCCTCCAAATTCACCTCCCTCGATATCGCTCCTTATTCAATATCCATCACAACATGTCTCTTTACAATTTTGTCAACTAATGTTGAATCCCCAACTTTTCTCACCTCTTCTGTTGGCGTCTCGTTTTGACAAGTTGAATTAGTTGCCATTTCTTCCTCCTCTTCAATATAATCATCCAAATTATCCTCCCCATTAATTTGTTCATCTTCTTCTTCCGGGGATAATGCATAATCTGGATGGTGCCTTTTCAAGTGTCTACTCCAATTTCCTGGGGAGACTTGACGTTCACACAAGGGGCAAATATTTGTTTTTGGTAGACGAATAATGCTTTTACTCTTCTTGGTTTGTTTTTTTTCTGATACTTAAAAAAGGAAGGTTTTTATTTATCGTAATTAGGTAATTAATTTTCATTTGATTATGTATTCTTAGTTGTTATTTTTTTTTCCTTTCCCAGACTAAAAGAAAATATTTCCTAAAGGGTGTCTTAAGGTTTTGGAGAATGTCCTAGCTTGAGGTCTTAAAGTAAAATATACAGCTCGGACGTCGATAAACCTTTAGAACTGAAAAATATTAACCTATAGAAGGTTTTCTTAAAGTGAGATGTAGCTATCATCGAGAATATCCTATACTGCATTTTCCGACTGTACAACTAGCTTCAGGAATGTCATGGGTTGAGAGAAAGTCGGGTCGGGTTTCAAAAATTTCCCTTAGATCGGGTAACCCTTGATATCTGTTATATTTGTTGACAGTTAACAAGTAGGATTACAGTGCTGAAAAGAGTTACCCTTGCAGGATAGAGTGTATATCGGGTATAATAGAACTTTGGAATCTTACTTGCTTATCAAAAAAAATTCTGTTCTTAAAATTTATTTTTTCCATTCAGAATCATTTTTTACCCACCATTCAATTTCCGTTTCATACCCCTCCTTCCATCATTTTTAATTTTCTCAATAACAGAAGCTATTGTTTTATCTACACTATCCTCCCTCTCATTATTCTCTTCCCCTTCCACTTGCTCTTCAAAACTTTCAATATTTATTTCTTTTGTTTCACAAGCAGTAGCTGTAGCTGTTAAAGTCATTTCGTTTAATATTTGTGTAGAATCAAGATTATTTTGGGAATTTTGGGGAATTTGTTGTAAATCGTTTTTTGATGAATTTAACTTTAATTTAAAATGAAAAATTTTTTTAAAAATATCCCCTTTTTGGAATTACCATTAATTCTTGTTTTTTCATTTCAAAAATGTCAGGTAAATGGAGTGAACGAAGATGGCGACTCCAATTAGATGCTGAAATCTGTTTGAGGCAGAATTGACATACTCCATTGGCAGGTCGTCGTATAATGATTCGGCGGCCGGGGAAGAGTTCTTGAAAAAATTTTTTTGATTTAGAGCAGACTCAAGAATGTAAAGGACGAATTTACGTATAAATTAGAGCCAGAAATTTTTTGCTAAATCTACTGTATATTGGGGGTTTGGGATGCTGACCAGATACATATTTTATCTGGCCATCATAACGTGTTCATCCAGTCTATTGTCCTATTCTATCCTAATTTATTTATAGAACCCCAACGGGGTAAAAATAAATCTTGGCCTAGCGTTGCGTTTTTTGAAATTGCCTCTTGCGCTCACCCATGAACCCCACGAGGTCATCCACTCCATGGATCGGTCAGAAATGACGAAGGTGTCGGAAATCAGAATTGTCGGAAATCGGAAATGGCTCAAAAGTCGGAACTTGGAAATCAGCCTAAATTTTCGGAAATCGGAATTCCGATCGACCTCTGACTCACTCCCATCAACCACCTCTTAAAACTAGTCATTAGAGTTCTATCAAAGACTACCTTTAAATAATAATTCGTCAGCCTTCTGAGCTTCTTCACTATATTCCTCTCCTTCTTCTTCCCCATTATTCCCTTCTACTTCTTTAATAATTCTTATCTGTTCTTCATCTTCCTCCTCCTCCTCTCCCAAGCCTTCCTTATCTTCATTATCCACCCCAAATAGATTATTGTGTTGAATTTGTTGATTCAAAAAGTGTTTTAATTGCAACATTGGCAAGTCAATTTCTGACGATTTGGACGAACTTTGGGCAGGTTCCACAACATTAATCTCTTCCACCTGTTCAGAACTATTTTTATTTTCACTATAAATAGGTGTAGTAAATTCTGGATGGTGTCTCTTTACGTGACGAGCCCAATTACTTTGACGTGTTTTGTAGAAGCAGAGAGGACAAATTCCGGACTTTGGGAGTTTAATGGTGCAACGTGAAGTCATCTTTCGTTTTACAGCTGAAAATAGACTATTGAAAATAAACTAGTGTCCGAAAATTGTCAAAAAAAAAGTCAGGACTTAAGTAACCTATTTGAAAATTTTCACTTAAAGGAGGTTTTTAATGATTGGACGGATATGAACCGACTCTTTGAGCGACTCAACTCTTCGAGATGAGTCGAAGACATCTCACACCTCCGTATCCGTGCACGCATTGTAAACCTCGTACAAGTGAAATATTTTCCAAAAATTGTCAAGAATGCCAAAACGTGGCCTATTACCCGAAAATTATCGAAAACTCGAGACTCGAGTGACTATTTGCTACAAATTTTTCGTTTTACCAAATTTGAAAACTTTGAACAAATTTTAAATCCAAATCAAACCCACTTTTAGCATTTCTCTTGCTTCTTCTTAAAGGAATATCTGTCGTTTCCACCTCTTTATTGTCCTTTTCATTGTCAATCTTTGTATCGAATTCACTACTGTAAAAGGAGAATATTGTTTAAAGAATACTCATTCTCTCGGTGTGCGGACATATCGGGACGGACATTTCGTGATTGGAGTGACAAAAATAATTTCCTGCGTGTTTAAGTTTGTTCTAAACCATAAAAACTCTATTCCCCAACAGGACAATATACTATCCAAGACCCAGTGGCCGTAGGTCCCGAAATCAGTAGGGTAACTGTTCGAATTAAGAGGTCGGCAAAATCGTGTTTGCGGGATCCCGCGGGATAAAATTTTTTTAAATCTTTGCGAGACATGATCCCGCGGGATAAATCCCGCATTCCCGCAAATCGAAAAAAGTGCGGGATTGCGGGACGGGATCCCGCAAAATCCCGCGCTGGATCCCGTCCCGCTCCGACCTCTAGTTCGTACATTTAAATATCCCGATATGTCCGCGTGCCATTTCTCTCTTACATTTCTGATTTGTCCTCATCCAAAGTCGTTGTTGTTTTTATTTTTTGTCGTTTAATAGGTGCCAATTCTGGAGACAAGCGATCTTCATCTTTTTCTTTTCTATTAATCTTAATTAATTTTTGAATTTTAAACTCAAATTTCTCCCCAAAATTACCTCCCCTCCCTTTCTCATTTCAACAATTTCCCCTCTATGCATTTGTTGAAGATGTCGACTCCAATTCGCTGCTGATATAATTTTTAGACAGAATTGACATATTCCACTTGCCGGGCGTTTTAATCCAAATCTTCCTGTAATTATGAAGAAATTTTTTAAAAATTAAGAGGCGTGCGCAACAAAACGCCAAAAAACGCAAGCCTTTTACTTCAAAATTTTTTTCAGTAAATTAAATTAAGTTTACCTCTTCGGCCAGGCATCTTTTTATGTTGTCTACACAATTTTTGAATTTTTGAGAATATTTTAAATAAGCTTATAGTTTAAAAAATCCCTTAAAAATGTTCTCTTCATTATAGATAAATTTATTAAGAATTAAATTATCGTTAAAAACTATCGTGTCAGACCAAAACTTCAACCGACAGAAACCCCGTCAGACAAAACTCCGTCAGACAAGAACCCGACTTACCAAAACATTGGGCAGACAAAACAACGGACGGAGTTTTGGAAGACGAGAAGTTTAGGGTTTTTTCTTACCCAAAAACCATTGAGGTTATGAATTTTTAAGTTTAGTAATGAAAATTCGAATAGAAAAATGAGTATAAAGTTGAAGATATATCGACGGAAAAACATCAAAAAATATTTATGGAAGGAGTTAAAATTGAAGAAAATATAAAAGAAGAAAGGAGATGGATGACTACGTGGGCGACTTGTCGATTTCGTCAATATAAAAGACCTCCTTCTTCTTCCCCTTCTTTTCTTCTCTTCTTTCCCTCTTTCTTCACCACACCTCCCCCAATACTCCTTCCCCTAACCCCCTATTATTCTTCCTTCTATTTTTTAGGTTCTCTGACTAGCTAGACATAATCTTCCTTTCTCTCTCTCCTTCCTTTTGGCACCTGTACAAAAGGTCGGTTTCTTAAAAGGTCGATCCCACAAAAGATCTACCAGTCAAAATAGATCAGAAACGGGGCAGACCATCAGAATATACAGATCAGAATAAATTCGGAGATTTTCGATTCGAATATTTATCCTGGAACTTCCGGATCCGCTAACCCCAATCATAACGCCGGTGTCTTAAAAGATCGACTCGGCCAAAATTTAATGTGTCGGCGTTTTGACTAATTTTGGCCGTGGCGATCTTTTAATAGAACGACCTTTTTAACAGCAGACTTCCCACTTCCTCATGTTTTTCTCCTTTCATTTCCCCTTTCTTTCAAAATTTCTTTTCTTCCTCTTTTTTTCCTCTTTCCTTCACAGAGTATTTTCATTTCCCCCATTATTTTCATCTCCCCTTCATCCATTCACATCTTAACTACCGAGCGGGTAAAGGAAAATAGTAGTACGTTGACAATCCTCCAACTTTCTCTTCTTCATCTTTTTTCTTTCTTTTCTTCCTCTATTCTTCTCTTCAATTGATTAGAAAAAAAGGAGAGTGTGCCAGCTACTAAAAATAATTTGGCCAAATACAAAAAAAAAAGAGAAAATAATAAATGTTGATGAAAGGGAGAGGAGGTTCTATGAAAAAAATTAAAAACGTAAAAAATCCCCCTTAACTCGCGCTTTCTAAAAAATATGTAAAAAAATTATTTAGAATGTTTATTTTTTATTAATATTTATGTTGAGTATAATTAAAGATGTAAATGACTTAATAAAAGATACCGTAAATGTTCCAATAAAGCCTTGGGCGTCTATTTTTCAATGGGTCGCATTGGGTGGGCTTCTAATGGGGCATAGGCTTCTATTGGAGCCGGGCTTCTATTAGAACATTTACGGTATATAAAAGCACATATGTAGGTAATATACAAATAATATATAGTATTTGGAACTCATTATGAGATAAACCTTCAAAATTCGTATATTATAATGGGGTGTACCCTAAATCGAGAGTATATTCATTATTGGAGGATCTCTCATTATTAAAGGATCTCTTGGAGGTTCCCCCACCCATCCAATGGCCAATTAAAATTACGTCTCTTAAATAGAGGTGTATCTCCTTTCAATTTATCCCCCATTTCGGGGGGGGGGGGCTTCAGCTCCTCACCCTCCCCACGGCTACGCCCCTCATAGCGAGGTCTGACAGTAGAGTTAATTTCACCGGTTACTACAAATACTGACAAGTTTATCATCACTTTTTTCTTTTTTATTTATTGAAGATTTTCTGCTAGTCCCACCACCACCACTCCCACCTCCTCCACAACGACGAAAAGGAGATGCCAAAAATTCAATTAATGAGGTACAACATTTATAAATTGAAGTGAGCAAATTATTAAAAGATCCATAATAATTTGAAGTATTTAGATGCTTTACAAAAGTAAAACCATCAAAATAAGCATCCCCAATTTGGTAATAATTTGAAATTGTTGCGTGATGGAAAAATCCATTTTTTCGGTAAAAAGAGATTGCTGGGTGGTTATCACATAAAACATGAAGAAATATCATTTTGGGTAAAGGTTGTTGAACTAAAAGTGATTAATTAAAAATATAATTTTATGTGTTAGATATTCTGGAAAATGTAAATAAGCATTCAGTTTCTTAAACAGTCACGGACTCTAGAGATTTAATTGTAAAGCTTTTCTCCTAAGATTTATGGAACTAGCACCCAAATCCGCAGCTATCCCACCCCAGCACAGACTATAATTTGTGGTAAATTGTAAAATTCAGAATTTAAATTAATTTCTATTGAGCTCGTCGAGATGAATAGAACTCTGTACAACTTCGAACTCCGAAATCTTAAATTAAGTGATAAATATACGGAGTAGCTCGTGGCGGTTCGACTCCGAGTTTAAAAACTAGAATGGTTTTAAAGGTTTTAAATCAAAAATCAATTCCTCGTCGTTCAATCAACTCTTAACATTGCATATCTAATAAAAATAATTTTTACTTGAATTAATAATGTTCATTAAATGTTTAAGTAAAATAGTTGCTAATCCTCCTTTTATAATTTTGTGTGACTGCCAAACTCAAAATATAAATTACATTTACTGTTGGGTCGCTATGCAGTGATTTATCCTTAAAATAGAAAATTTTAGAATTTCTTATTTTTAATTTAAAAAGTAAAAATCGTTTCGGACACATTTCCAGGCTATAAATTAATTTTAACATTGAATGGGGTCAAACCATGGCCATAAAACCTAACACTTTCCCACTACACCAGAGACAACCATTGAGAGGATTATTTAAATTTTCACTTAAACCACTTAAGAATTAACTGAAATAAATTTAAAAAACACCTCCAAATCGCAATCTCTAATTGTTGTATTTTCAGCAACCAAAAGGGAAGTTAAAATATTATTACTAGAAATAATTAAAATTTTTTTAAAAAATATTTCTCTCTTACTGATATAAACCAAAGCTTATATAACAACCATTTACAACATCCATATACCACTCGTTTGGATATTCTAGAGGAAATGCTTCTCTAAAATATTTATTTAAGTGTAAAAAGAAATTTTTTAATGAAAATTAAAAAATCAAAATGTTAAAAATATATAAATCTCATTGTAGTCGGATCGTAGTTTTATCAAAGTTTACCCAAAATTTTGGTATTTTTTAAAAATTTTTATGGCACATTTTTTAAAATTTGGTAGGCCACTGGGTTGGAGTGTGCTAAACAATAATAATCGGTAACGAACGAGAGATACCTCTAATAATGGATAAACACGATTTTAGGCAGAATCATACCCACAAGAGTTTAGACAAAAACCTAAAAAAGGTCAAAACCCACAAACTTGTATTAAAAAAAAATTTTTTTTTAACGTAGTACTTCCAACCCTACGACTTTAATCAAAATCAAAAATAAATTACCGACAAAGAGCACAAACATCCTGTAAATCCTCCAAAACAAATTCTCTAATATGCCAATAATCATTATTATTTTTGTTCTCAATAATCTTCACAGTGTCCCCAATTGTCCATTTATTTGAATTAATTATTGACGTATCAGAAATCATTTTTATTTTTTGTACATTTCATTAAATTTTTTGCTTAATTAAGAAAATATTTTCGTGACGAAAAAAGAATTAATAAAAATAAATTTAAAAAATAAATTTTTGTAAAATAACAATTAAAAAAAATTTTTTTTCTTTTAACAGAAACATTTTTTATGCGATTTTTAAACACCCAAGCGAAAAGAAAATGAAGAAAAAAAATAAAAAATAAATTTTTATAGATTTTTGGCTGATATATATTAATTTATGTATATCACTTTGAAGAAAAAACCAAATTTTTTAAAAATGATGCGTGAAATATTTAAAAAAAATTTTTTAAGGAAGGGGGAAGGAACAGGGCTGCACGTAATCGAAAAAAAAGATCCCGCAACTCGCAACTTCTTTTTAAAAATCCGCACCCGCAATCTGCAGCTTGCAATCCGAAATTGCGTGAGCCCTGTCACAGGAAGGCAGAAAGGTTTAAGGGGATGGATGGAATGAGGATGAAAATCCTCATCAAAAAATATCGCCAAGATCGAGCTGTTTAGGAAATTTACATAAACAATCAAGCATCATTTTTTAGAAGATGAAACAAAAAATATAATTAAAAGGACAGAAAATTTTTAACAAAAATATTTAAAATTTAAGCAGAGATTTGGACGGGAAAAAAATAAATTTTAGGGTATTGTGGCAGAATAAAAAAACTTAATTTTAATATAAGTTCAATTGAGAGAGAAAAAATTATTTTTTAAATAAATAATAAAGCTCATTGCCTTTGCAGTACTAAATTAAATAGGTTGCCGTTTTCGGTTCGAGCCGACGTTTGGTGCATTTTTTTCGAGCTTGGTTTTTTTCGATTCTGTTCGTTTTCGAGCTGAAAAGCCTCGGCTCGCTCGATCTTTCGAGTTTCGGTTCGAGCGAGCTGTCTACACTAAAATTAAATATAAAAAAATAATTTCATAAAAAATTAAGACCCTGAAAAAATTTTTTTTCTTTTAAAGTACTGCAAAGTGCCAGAATAATAAGCAGAAAAAAAACAAATTTTTCTTAAATATGTTTAGGTATTTTATTTTAATTTTTTTTCGTTTAAATGGAGATCTGAAAAATAATGCATAGTAATTTTTTAATAGAGAAAAAAGATATATAAACAAATAAAAATTATTTTCAAATTTTAAAAAATTAACAAAAAAAATTTTTTTTTAGCCTCCGAAAAAATTTAGAACTTGTCACAATTTATTTACAAAATGGAAAAAAATATATTATTTGTTTATATACCTTTAAGAATAGAGATCGGGCCCAGGATTCCATAACTGAATGCAAGGGCCTTGCGGGGGGTCTTCTGGAGCTAAAGCCCCCCCCCCTTGACATGTGGAAAAGGGGGGTCGATTTCAGGGGGGGCCAAAATTTTGGCATTTACTTTGGAGTTTCAGCGGATCCCAATCCCAAAAAACTCGAAAAACACTCAGCACGGAATCCCGTTCCTGTGACGATCCCTACCAGCCAAGAATCTAATAACAAACAGAAAAGAAAAGTGAAAAGAAAAAAAAGAAAAATTTTTAAAAAGTCAAAACCTCCAAATAATTTCCAAAAGCAAGCCTCCTCCTCCTCCAAAAAAATTTTTTTTCAATGACACAAATCAGAAGCAAAATTATCAATATTTTCTGGATCATTACTGCTAGTAGCCCCTCCACCATTTCCACAAGATTGACAAAAACAGCGACGTGGAGGGGAACATTTAATATTTGCAAATAACCAATGACCAAAAGCAGCTCCCAAAATTACAGCAAAAGTAAGCCAAACATTAAAAGTCATCTTAAAAATTTTTTTAATAGTATAAAAATTTAATTTTAAAGTAGAGCTACTGGCGACCGGTTAATTTTTGCCTGTGACGGGTCAGACAAAAAAAGAATAAGAGCATTTGAGCCACCACAGAACTAACGAATCGTTAACAACCTTTAGAGGAAAATCCTAGTAGAGGGCAGAGGTGAATCGAAAAGACAAAGGTGCGGAAATCAGAACTGTCGGAAATCGTTCAAAAGTCAGAACTCGGAAATCAGTCCAAATTTTCGGAAATAGAAAGTCTGGATTCCAATTCACTCTGGTAGAGGGCCCATTAAAAATTGTTTAAATTGTCTTATAAAAAACCGGAAGGTCTCTTATTAAAGAAAAAAAGTAAAAAAAGCTCAAAAAGCCTAAAACAATTTCGAAAAAAAAATAATAAAATAATAAAAAAATATTTTAACATAAAATCCCAAAAATTGAAAAAATCCTTCCTATTTAAAATATTCAAAAAATTCAATTAAACTCACAGCAATAAGCATTAACCAATACGCTCTTAAAATAAAAAATTAATTTTTATAAAAAACCAAAAAAACATACAAGACAAGTTGAAAAGCATAAATACCAGTCTCAATCAATTGACAAGTGGACGGAGAAAAATTACGATTGACATACATCATTATCCAACTAAAAACAAAATTTTTAAAAGAAAATTGACAATCATTGGTAAGGGAACAAGGAAGTCTAGGTCATGCATAAATGTCTAAATCCGACACCAGGGGCGGGCGCCTTGCGTTAAATTTTGGTCTTGCGTTGCGTTATCAAAGATCCCACCCCTGTCCGACACTACGGACCTGGACCTTCGGAAGAATCGTGTGATAAAAAGCAAACATAAATTAGATTTTTTAAAGTTTACCCAAAATTTTGTTTTTAACTAAAATTTAAGAGAAGGTCAGGAAAAGGTTTAGAAAATTTTAGGAGAATAATAATTTATGAGGAAGTTAGGTAATCAAATCAGAAGTCTAAAAATATTTTTCAAAGGCTGTTCTAAATCAACATTGCTCCAAGATTTTTAAATACCGTGAATAGGGTTGGGGTTTTCGCGTCGGGCCGAAGTTCGAGTCTTTTTCGGTCCAAAATTCGATGTCCTACTCGATCTAACGGAACAAGCCGGATCGGTTCACAACCCTAACCGTGAAGAACTAAAAGGAAAAATAATTTTTAGTCCCTTTCAAAAATTTCAAAAGAATTTCCTTTAAAGAATTCCCTCTCCCAAAAGACCCACTCAAATTAAAAATGAAATTAGAACTAACGTCCAACGATTAATTTGCATACTGCTAGTACAAACTTGCGGAGTAGAAATAACAACTGTTGGTGCATAAACTTCTCTATTTAAAGTATTCGAATTTCCACAATTTTCGGAACATCCACTCGAAGACGCAAAAGTTTTGTTATTGTTTTTAATCAAAGAATGGTCCTCTGACCCATTAAAATTTTTTCCTTCAACTTTTCGGGAGACTGAATTTAACGACAAAAAATCGGAAGATTTGGATCTTTCACAAGTCTAAAAATTTTTTTTTTAATTTTTAAGGTTAAAAAAAGTTAAAATAAACCCAAAGTTGAAAGTAAACTCTAAACCATTTCAAGCCTTCATATGCAGCTCCCATTAAGAAAATTAGAATAAATGAAGTGAAGAGACCTTAAAATTATTGTGTTTAATAGGACTGTGGTCAAGAAAATAAGAAAATTTTTTTAAAAATTTGAAAAATTGTCAGCAGGATTGGAGGGTATTTTTGATTGATTGTATTTCGTCATTGGATTCATGTGACTTAGATTCTAGGGCTATTGTAAAAATAGAAACATTGTAAAGATTGCAAGAGAATTGCGGATTTTCCGTTTCGCCTACACGTAGCCAGGGGGCTAAAATGGTATTCCCTTTCCCCATTTCAAGGGGAGCTATAGACGCAAAAGCCCCCTGGCTATGTCCATGTATTTTGCCAGAAATTTCTGGAATAAGGAACCATAAATAGAAAAGATTTTGTTTAACAAAAGTGCACGAAAAAAATTAAGCATGAAGTTGGCGATGGCTGAGTAAAAATTGATTGACAAGAAAAGGAAAAGTCCGCAAAAAAAAGAAAAGTCCGCAAAGGAAAAGTCCGTTTACAAATGCCAATTTTGTATATTTAATTATAAACATTTAAACCCCCCCCCCCCCCCCCCCCCCCCAAAATATTCCTAATCAGACATGGTCATGGATAAAGATAATACCAAAATGCCTGCGGATATCCGCCGTAAATATCCTGATAGGAAACAAAAATCAGATCCGTGACCAGGTCTGTTCCTATTAATAAAGAAAATATAAAAAATACCCAAAGTAGAATCAATACGCCAAAAATCAAAGAGAACAATTTCATCAAAACCCCCATGGAAATACATTTTCATATTGTGATCAGAAGAAGAATGTTCATGTAATGCTACAAAATTTATTAAAAAATAATTAAATTAAATAAAAACTTTGAACACTTAAAGTCTTTTCTGTACTTGTTAAAATATTATTAATTGAATCATTTGGCAAAGATGAATGGTGGTCGTGATGGGCGTGATGAGAATGGTCCATTCTATTTTTTTAAATTTTTTTACCTAAAATTTTATTGAGAAAATTTCAGAGAAAATGTCCTAAACAGTCTAAAATAGGGTTGTCGGTTCTGGACCGAACCGAAGAACCGATGATTTTTCGGTTCTTCGGTTCGGTTCCGGATATCCGAAGATTTTCCAAGAACCAACAACCCTAGCCTAAAAACAAAAATTTTCTCGACTCTAATGTTCCTCTTAAAAAATAAAAACACAATGCCAATAAAAATTTAAGGCGAAATTCGTTAAGACAAAAAGGTACAGCCTATTTCGTCACTCACATTTCTGCCCGATAAATTTTGAAAATTTTTATTCTTCGAATAACGTATGCTTTATTATTTTAAAAAATTACATTGGCTTTAAACTAGGGTAGCAGCCCGTACCCGAAACCTCAACCTCGACGAATTTTTACTAAACCCGAAGGCTCAGGGTGCTACCCTACTTTAAAGTTTAAGCACTTAAATTACAATTGTGTGATCAAAAAAAACATAGTGTTAAAAATGACAAGTAGAGGAGAATGTACATACTTATTCTAGTGGTTAAATCAATCCGCACACACGGTCGAACCTCAATCTTAGATACCACTTTTTAAAATTGGGGTTCAAATGACTTGGGGAACTGTCTAAACATGCTTCGTATTGGCCTCTATGGTTTCTCAAATTTGTCGGATTTTTTGATTTTGGTGTCATTCGACACAGCTCAGTGTGTTATACATTTTGTTGATAAACTGACCATTTTTTACATATTTATCGAAAATATTGGCGGGGGTGGGGTGGTTGTATTTTAGTCATAATCACTACATATTCTTCATTCTTCACTTTCTAAAGCTTCCGAAATTGCCTCAACACATTGTGTAGCATTTCCCATATCAATACACATTGGAGGTTTTATTCTCAAAACATTCCCGTTCAGACCTCCCTTGCCTAGAAGAACGCCTTTTTCCTTGATTTTTTCAAATATTTTAGCCATTTTTTCTTTTGATAATTTTTCCTGTTGATTTTTATTTTCTACAAGTTCCACTCCAATCATTAACCCTTTGCCTCGAATATCTCCAATTAAGGGTGATTTAATTTTTGAAAGTTCTTGAAGAATAAATGTGCCTATTTTGTCTGCATTTTGTTGCAGCTTTTCTTCTTCGATTACCTATAGAATAAAACTTTTCTTGGTGTTTAAATACTATTCTGAAATTGAATTATAATTTTTCAGAATTTTATCTTGCGTCTTTATAGCAAAAAAATAAATCAGAATTTTCTATTTACACCCCAGCAATTTCAGAATTGTTTTTAAGTGCTACAATAATTTTTATTTTTAGTAATTCTGATTTTTAATAATTCTGATTTTTAGTAATTCTGATGTTTAATAATTCTGATTTAATAATTCAGATTTTAATTCTGATTTTAATAAATCTGATTTTTAATAATTCTGATTTTTAATAATTCTGATTTTTAATTCATTCTGATTTTTAATAATTCTGATTTTTAATAATTCTGGTTTTTAATTCACTCTGATTTTTAATTCATTCTGATTTTTAATAATTCTGATTATAATAATTCTGAATTTTAATAATTCTGATTTTTAATAATTCTGGTTTTTAATTCACTCTGATTTTTAATTCATTCTGATTTTTAATAATTCTGATTATAATAATTCTGAATTTTAATAATTCTAATTTTTAATAATTCTGGTTTTTAATTCACTCTGATTTTTAATTCATTCTGATTTTTAATAATTCTGATTATAATAATTCTGAATTTTAATAATTCTGATTTTTAATAATTCTGGTTTTTAATTCACTCTGATTTTTAATTCATTCTGATTTTTAATAATTCTGATTATAATAATTCTGAATTTTAATAATTCTGATTTTTAATAATTCTTATTTTAAATAATTCTGATTTTTATTTTTTAAATTATTCTGTTTTCTGGTTTCTTTTCTCGTTAATTCTGGTTTTTATTTTCCAAATTATTCTGGTTTTCCCAGTAATTCTGATTTTCTTTTTACTATTTCTTTTTAATTCTGATTTCTATTTCTTAAACCTACAGAATTTTTATTATTTTAAAAATCAGAATTTTTTAAATTATAAACTTCTATAACAGCCTTTGCAACAGTACAAGCTAACGGATTCCCACCATAAGTATTAAAATACAAAGCTTTTCCAAGGGAGTTGGCAATTTCTTTGCTTGTAATAACCGCTCCCATAGGAAAACCATTTGCTATTCCTTTTGCCATTGTCACAATATCTGGTTTTGCTTGTTGAGATTCAAAACCCCAAAAATGAGAGCCTAGTCGACCTAGACCAGTTTGAACTTCATCGCTTATTGTTAGACCACCACAGGAGTGGATAGTGCTGAAGGCTGCTTGAAGATAATTTCTTGGGTATTGTACTGTTCCGCCGATTCCCTGAGTAGTTACCCCCACCCATTCCGTGCACAGGTGTGCACAAAATGGGTGGCGGAATTTTGCAACATCAAAGGGAAACCCAAGGGTGTAGGGGGTTTCCAGGACCTATCCTCATCAATTTGGCGGTATGATCAAAGGAAAACCAAAGGGTGTAGGGGGTTTTCATGTTTCCCCACCACAATTTCACCGCACAAGTGCGGGGAAATCAAAGGGTTTGGGGTACTTTTGTTCCCGAACCACCCAATTCGTGCACAACTGCACAGAATGGGGCGTTTGCGCATCATCAAAAGAAATCAAAGGGTGTGGGGGTACTTTCAGGGGTACAAGTACAAGAGTTTGATTGATGTGTGACAAGTGACAGATTTGATTGACAGGTACAAGTACAAGGTACTTGTACCTTTTACTTGTACAAGGTACACCCATTCCGTGCACAACTTGTACAAGGTACAAGTACAAGTGTTTGATTGATGGGTGATAGGTGATTAATTTGATTGATTACTTGTAAAAGGTACATGTACAATGTTTCAGTCTGGGACTGGAACCTGAAATTTCAGTCTGGTACTGAAATATTTAGAGCAAAAACCTAAATAATTTCTAAAATAATTAAATTCCCGAGCGGAATCGAACCTTCGCCATTATTCCCATATGCGGAAACCTTAACCATTTCGCCATGGAGGAGTAAACAAACTAAACAAAAATTTGCGATTTATCTAATTTCCACTTATTTCTCGGCGCAGCCGCGGAGGGGGTGGAGGAAGATTTCTCTCTCTCAAGGTCATTTGCTCAAAAATTTCAGTCTGGGGCTGAAATATTTTGGGGGCCGGGGTCCGGGATACGGTGAAATTAATAAAAATAAATTAAATAAAAAATAAATTAAGTAAAAAATAGGATAAGATAAATTTTACAAAAAAAAATTAAAATGATTTGCAAAAAAGGGCGGAAGTCAGAATGTAAGGGGACGTTAACCAATTATTTCGAAACATCAAATTTCGAAATGTCAAAACGACAAAATGCCACAACGACAAAATGCCAGCCTACAAAACGCTCAATGGGGTTCAGTCTGGGGGTGTTACATTTGAGTCTAAGATTTTCAGTCTGGGAATGAAATTTTCGAGTCTAAGATTTTCAGTCTGGGACTGAAATTTTTGAGTCTGTGAATTTCAGTCTGGGACTGAAAAAAAGTCGGGGGCAGGGGTCCGGGGTACGGTAGAATTAAAGATAATAAAAATTAATAAAAAATAATTTAAGTAAAAATAAAAAATAGAGAGAGATAAATTTTTACAAAATTTTACAAAAAAATATTAAAATGATTTGCAAAAAAAGGGCGGAAGTCAGAATGTAAGGGAAGTTAACCAACTATTTCGAAACATCTCAAGATCTTATCTAATTGATTAATGATTAATGAGTTTTTGAGGCAGCAAATTTTGAAGCCAAAAGGTTTTTTGTAATTTAAAAATGACCTTGAAGGTTACGAAATAAGGAAAAGGTAACTTATTAAAAAATTTTGCCCTTTATCTCATGTCTTATCTAAATGATTGATGATTAATGAGTTTTTGAGTCAGCAAATTTTAAGCCTACAAAGAATTTCGTTAATAAAAATGACCTTCAAAGTGATTAAATAATGAAAAAGTAACTTATAAAAATTTTTTCCCATTATCTTAAGATCTTATCTAATTGATTGTTGATTAATGAGTTTAGATGGAGTAAATTTTACCAATTCCGCATCACATGACCTTGAAAAAAATATTTCGTAATCACCTAACCGTCTGAAACGAGGAGTATAAAAGGCGAGGTTTTTTGTCATTCTTAACCATTTGACTCAAAAACAAAAACAAAACATCCTCTACAATTAAAAAATTAAAAACCAAAAATGGCATTTAATAACGGTCAAAACGGACCTTCTGCCAATAAGCGCGCAAAATTCCTCATACGCGATATCCTCCCCCATTTATTCAATGACGTACAAAACGGTGCGGGCGCAAATAACCTAAATAATTATTACCGTCAAATTGATTATGAAACTGACTACAGCAGAAAATTTAAAATGATGAAAACAACTGGAAAATTTATAATAGAAAAAATACCTGAAAATCCGGAGGAATTGCTTCGAAAAATAATACAACAATGCATGGATAAAACAATTGAAGAAGCAAAAAATAAATCAATAGAGCCTGACTGCCTGGGGGCATTAATTTCATCACAATTATTAGACAACGACATATGGATTCCTATAAGAAAAATTGAAAATGATACGATCGACAATATACTTAATCGTTTCCAGCTTGTTTCCCAATCCAAGATAGAAAAAGGATCCCTTATTGGTCAACCTTTCACAATAGCAATTCAAACACTTGGAATCTCCTCTCTTCCGAGAACAAAATCAATAAGAGGCAGCGCACCGCAATTATCAGCAACAA